CGTGTGTTGATTTCATTTCTTTCAGCCGAAGAAACGGGCTTAAGCACCTTCCAAGTTCTGCCGCTCACAGAAAAGCTCATGTCCGTGTACAACGTTAATGTGGACCCAGAGGAAAAGACTACACACATGATCACGCTTATCGGTGAGTGCGGCACATGTCATAACAGCGGAAACATGGATGTCAGCGGGGCTTACAATTAAGGAGACGGGGGAGTGTTGCTCTGTGTTCACTGTGTGTGTCCAGAACACGCTCCCCGACGAGATGTGAACTTGCACACTGAGCTTGTCATAGTTCAGTACTTGTGTCGTGAATTGTGTCCACTGAGTTCTTTCAGAGACAGGAATAGGATTGATGCAGAAATCTCTTTCTGAGCACGGTCCACAAAGTGAGTCCTAGGCTCTCGCACCACAGCAATTGCATTTTGGGAGCTGAGGTAGAAAGACTGGAAACCTGCGTTTAGTAGATAATTATAATTGAGACTATGTCATGATTTCTCATTTTTGTGAGAATTCGTTAAATAGTGACGTAGTTGAAGCAATCTGCTTCCTCCACAAGCGATCAGTGTGGGACACTCACTACATAACGGTGACCTTCGTGAGCATAAACGCTCTTGACCTAAGACTTGGTCCAGGGCTGAATTGCTGAGATGGAATTGCAATTGTTGGAAGTGCAGCAACATTTCAAGTAGATGCATATCCAGCCTTTGATTGGACATAGGGAGGAATTTTTTTTTCTTTCCTGTCATAAAATGGCAGTGCTCACAGTGTCTGCTGTGGGCTGGTCTCATCCCTCTCCGTATGTCATTATGGATCAAGGGCACCAGAGAATGGATTCTGGAATTCCGCAGACAGAAAACGGGTCCCCAGAGTGTGGAGGGATTCCTGGGTGACCCCTCCCAACATCCCCAACCACAGCATGTCTTTCTCAGAAGGCACATGTGAGCACGTCATCTGGTTGACGTTCACACGATCCATATTTTGTCTACTTGTCTTTAGGATGGACGGTGGCCCCCACCCACACACTGTGACTCGATGAACTGTGTTCACCTCTTTCTGAGGCGATCTGGTCCAGCAGATTCACTTTGTAGGAGAATCAGGGAATGGGGCGGGAGCTTCCCACTGGCCGGGTCATCATGTTGTGTTATAACGGGAACCATCCTAAGTTCCCCAGTGTCGTAATGAGCATCCCATCTGCCTTGTGTTTCCTGTGACGCAGGAAAGGACACGACTGTCACCGAGGAGCAGCTGCAGGAGTTCTACCAGCTGGCTGAGAAGCACGGCATTGCCAAGGAGAACATTCAGGACGCGGTGCCCACGGGTAATGTCGCTGCACCGTGCACACATATCTTTACATATAGGAAATGAGGCCCCTGACTTATTTCTATTTTTTTTTAATCTCTTGTAACTCTCTTTTACAGATACGTGTGAGGATTAAGGACATCCCCTGGGTGAGCAGAAATCCATTATGTAAGTCTGCACACTTTCAATCAGGTCTTTTTCATTTGGTCTGGTTTTATCGTGCACTTCTGCGCAACATAATTTTAATGCAGGTTCACTGTTTGGTGCTACAGTCCTTCATGGTGGTTGTCGTGAAGGCTGTTGATTTACATGGGTGGTCACACGGGAACTATATTCACAAGTCAATTTTATTTTACTTTTTAACAATGCCAGAGACTTTATGGCCATGGCATCAGGTCACCTACATTTTCCATGATCCTTTCCTGTTGTTACAGATCAGACAGAGTTTCTGGGACGTCCTCACCATCAGATCCGACTCTGAAATGAAGATTATTTCTCCCCAGCTTCTTCTCATCTCACCTGGAGAGCAGGAGTCTCTGACACATGGATTTACTTACTCCCCAATACTCGCCCCCGGTTTTGAATAACTGAATAAATATTTCTTATGCAAAGAGGAACTCCGTTGGGCAATATAATTGCTATATGTGCCTTGATTACACGTCAAACTATATGCTGCATGTAGCACAGATATGACTTTAATGATGTGACAGGAAGTTTCTGAGACCCGTGTTAAGAATTCATGAGGGATGGAGAGAACGCTTCCAGAAAGACCCACAAGAGGGCATCTAGGAAACACAGCAACAGGCCTCCGTAGGAAAGATTAGAGAATGCTTTTTTTCCTGTAGAATCTATCAAAAGTGCTATTAACCTAAATGCCCCCAGAAAGGTTTGTGACATCGTGGCTTTTGGGTTCCCTAATTCCCTCACTGCTCCGGAAGCTGCGGACAGCCCAGCACCCGTCCTTAGCCTCTGACAGCAGGAGGCTATTTGGGAAATGCAGGTCCACGTTGACCCTGGTGTCAACAGTGTGATGTCCAAATGCACAGGCCCAGTGTGCTCAGAATGCCAATGTCACAGCCAGGCTTGTTCCAGGAGGTTTGAAGAAGGGCAGAGTTCTAGAACTACGTGAATGTTTTGGTTAAGGAGGGTGGAATGCATAAACTCACAGCTAAGGACACAGAACTGGTTGGACTGGCTTTAGCACATAGGACTCTGAACATTAAATCACAGGGCAGGTGGTGTGGGTTTAAGAAGGGTGCCCATAGGGGAGAGGGTCTAAGTACGAGCCAAACTTACAGTATGAAATTCACTGAAATTCAATAAAAAATTAATTTAAAAAGGGGGAAAATGAAAAGTTTGCAATTAGTAAGTCAATCTTCACTTTGAGAACACGAAAATGTATAAAATTAACCGAAACTAAACAGAGAAGGAATTTATAATGTGAGGAGATTGAATAAATAATAAATAAATAAATAAATTCAAGGGTAAAATATGTGAGAGTATCCGTGAAACCACACAAAATAATGTATCGAAAATTTTAAAAAAAAATCTTCTCTACATTGAATCTGTATTTCTAGGACCTAAAATAGTATACGATTACCTGAAGCTAAGCGTATGGATGTAAATAACATTGTTTGGAATGAAATACAATGAACTACAGCAGTGAAATAAAAAATAAAAAATCAGTGGCCCAACAGCCTTCCCCAAACCCAGCAGGTTTTACACAAGGAAATGTGTCTTCCGTGCTAAGAAATCTTCTGTGGAGTTTCTCTAAGGAACGTTACCATAGTGGACCAGGGAAGAGACCGTCCCCTAGGGGGTTCTTAGTCTCTTTCATAAAAGAATTTAAGAACGGACCCAAACAGAAGCTTTTACAATTTTGTTAGAATCTTAAAGAAAAACCCTCAGGGCAGGTGAGCTGGTCATCAGAAAGCCATGAGGCCATGCGTGTTTAGAGCCTGTGAGGGGGTCAGGCAAGTGGCTGGGACAAGAAAGCTTTAGAGAAACACTGGGTGTTCTTGCAGAAGACCCGGGTTCGAATCCCAGCACCCGCACGGCGGCTAACGACTGTCCGTAACTGCGGTCCCAGGGGATCTGACAGCCTCTTCTGTCCTCTGCAGACATTGCACGACACGGGTGCACTTACCTTCATGCAGGCAATACACATAAAATAATAAATAAATAATAATAAATAAAATATCATAAATATAATATATAATATATAATAATAAATAAAATATTTAAAAA